AAAAAATAAAATAGAAAAAAATTACCATGCGAATGCGATCTGAATACGCGCTAATGTGGCTATTTAGAATGTGAATAGCAATCTTCGGGTGACAGTGGTACTACACACCCCCGATGCAGGTAAAACAAAGTAAGGTGACATGGTTTACTTTTTTGCCGATTTAACCTAATTTTAAAAACTTTAATACTTCCGACAATGGATGTTTTGAAAAGAAGACAGATTACGGATTTAGTCAGCATTTTTTTTTTCATGTTTCTATAATAAGATTTCAGCAAGTTATGAACTGAAATACACGAGAATTATACGCAGCATCGCCGACGATACCGTCGACTCCAGAGGGTTAAATGGACTCGTATAGTCATTACGCGGGGTGGAGGTCAGGCAACACCGTAAGCAGGCCGGTCGTACTGACACGCCGAACACGTAGCGTATTCACGGGCCATCTCTGGCTGTGGGCCCAGTGTGGGAGTCGCTTGTTTCCACTTCGAATCTACATCTGCTTCATTATTCCAAACAGGTACCGGTGTGTGTTTTTACAGTCTTACATTAAGGTCCAGCTGTTGTAGGTGTGTTGATGAGACCAGCCCCACTGGGGATAACAGTAAACGTTTTGCTTTCTGAAGGGCACATTTTACTCTCTCCCACTCCTGATTAACTTCACATTCTCTCCAGATTAATGAGCTGCACCTCTGCAAGAACTGCTTCTACCTGTCCAACGCCCGGCCCGATAACTGGTTCTGTTACCCCTGTGTGAGTATGGCACTGGGCACCATCACCCCACGTCAGACCAGACACTGCATGATAGTGATCTCAGTCATTTAGTGAGGTGACATTTCTGTGAGAGTGTTGCCAAATCTTGATGAGTAGCTAAGTTATGTTTCTTTAAGAAAGTTGCTAGAACTGAACAATTACAGGGGCTTAAGTTTCTTTAAGAATGCCAGATCTTGAGTAATGAGGTTAGATTTCAGTAAGAATTCCATCTCAGCTAGTTGTGGGATCAGGTTTCTGTAAAAATGCAGCCTGATCTCATCAAGTAGTGAGATCAGCTTTCTCTAAGAATGTTGCCAGATCTCAGTGAGTAGTGAGGTCAGGTTTCTGTAAGAAGTTAACTGGATCTCAGTGAGTAGTGAGGTCAGGTTTCTGTAAGAAGTTAACTGGATCTCAGTAAGTAGTGAGGTCAGGTTTCTGTAAGAAGTTAACTGGATCTCAGTAAGTAGTGAGGTCAGGTTTC